ATTCCATATAATTCCTTATAGTTGATTTCTTCACTCATATATTGTAATGTCAGCCGTTAAGAGAACTATGTATTCTAAGATTTCTGTGATATCTATCAGTGCCATTGGCAGTTCGACCGATTTCGCGATAAAGGCAGAGATTTTCTTATAATAAACAGTCCAAACCAAACGTTTGCAATCTGAATTCACTTGAACAAAAGTAAAAAGCCTCGAGTACGTTAGTAACATACACAACAGCTTGCGTTGTTTATCTGAAGAGGTTTTGATCAAATTTTTTACATTTTTCTTTGCTTTCAGGGCATTTTTAAAGCATTTTGAGAGCATGTTATTGATCGTTTTTGGCAATATTTTATATCATCAATATCTACCCCTAATAATAATAAATGGTTTGATGTCTATTTAGAATAGTATCCCCTTAATAAAACCTGCCCCTTAATGATCACATTTTACAAGCTGCCACAATTTCGCAAGCATTGGTGTTTCGTTTCTGCACTTTTGCCCTTTTGATGCAAGAAATGCACTTTCGATCGAACAGCACTGAATACAAAGTCCTCGTATGCTTCAACCACAGTTTCTTCGCCTTTCTTTTCTTCTCTGGCGTTTGTAGTTATCCCTTGTCAGTGAGCACTTTCCGTAGTTTCAATTCGCTGGACACGGATATTCCAGTGAACTTCGCGATTTGCTTCACCGGTAACGACGGATTCCTATACAATAAGGAATTGAAATCGTTCAGAACGAAGCGCTTTTTGCTACTCAGAATACACTGTTCACACTATTGTTTAATTATTGAACGGCCAACCACACTCTCATTCTAAAACGAAATGAGGGGTTTGCAGAGCAATCGGCGGCACGGCATCACGGCCTCAAGCGTTAACACGTGTCGATCAGCACGTTCGTAGGCTGAACTATCAGAGGCTCGTAACCTTATCGCACAGCTACACGCATTCAGTTTACAATGGTCCCCTTTCCCAAAACCGTTGCAATAGATTTGACGCAAGGTTAATTTAACGAACGATGGCAGATAAATTAGTTCTTATATAGAAAACTTAAGTGACAGGATCCCGACAACAGCAGAGCTCACACTGCAAACCAATGAGAATCATCCTAACACACGTGCATTTGTTTACATCAGGATTTTTCTTATGGTGAACGGATAATAAAACACAGTTAAGAGGCTTTTTTTCATGTTATATTTACAAGACGAACTCATCTGAGCTTTCTAAAAGATAAAAAATTAAGTACAGCATCTAAGATCCCTAGAACTATTAATCATCGAGGGACAAGGTCGGATCCCCGCCGTTCAACCGTAAGCGCGTAAGCGAAGCGAATAAAACTAGCAAAATCCAATAGGTGAGTTTATTTTTACTACATTGGTATTGTGGTGAGTTGTCGTTGGCATTTCCAATGAAATAATTATATGTGTCGTCATTGCGTATGGAATTATGTATATGCGTAATATTGTTGGCAATGACGACGCATATAATTATTTTATTTTTACTAACCCAAGCTTACTCGAAGCAAGCTTAGCAAATTAAGCAAACAAATGAAGTAAGGACAAGTTTGACCAACATAACCAAACTCTTTTTTTTAAATCACCGCCATCTACACCGCGCTCTCCACACGATTCTCATTTATCAACAGGCTTCAGCTGACTGTCACAACAATGCCCGGGAGCGCGGCAGGGCGGCAGCGGGCAGTCGGCCCGTGTCAAGGCAATCGCCGCTCCCGGAATCGATGGCATCTCTGGGCGAGCAACGCACAGCACCGCAGCCAGTACGAGGGTTGCCTTTTATATTTCACAATTAGAAAACAAAAACAAACAGTAATCATCGAAAATCACTTTATTGTTTTTCAAAATATTCCCCATGAAGACCTATACACTTCTGCATGCGTTTGAACCAATTGTCGAAGCCTTTTGCCACTTTGATTGAGGTATCTCCATAACATCCATTTTGAATGCAGCAACCGCTTCTTCAGGTGTCGAAAAACGTTGACCTCTCAGTTTGTTTTTGACGTACGGGAATAAAAATTGAATTCATTCGCCAAAAATTGAATTAAGTTCATCCATGCACTGTTGCTGAGGTAATCCATGTCGAAAGTTGTAAAAAAAATCGCACGAAAATGTTCACGATTTAATTCCATTTTGGGGCCAAGATGATTTTTTTTACGTTACAGTAAACAACACAAATATCGCTCGTATGTCAAAACGTTCTGAGTACGTATAACCTCAAAACATCCAACTTTAAGATAGAGCTGTCAGTTGCCAGACTGCAACACCAGGGTTGCCAAGTCCCGAAACATAAAAGGCAACCTTCGTCATTTGATTAGACGCGCGCACCTGTAGCAGTGGGACGTGGCTTCCACTGCGAGCGCTGCCGAGTGTGCGTCTGCGGTGGCAAGGGCAGGCCACGCCCACCGACCCTCCTCTGGCCGCTCTCGCCCTTCCTAAGGACGACTCGCGGCCGCGCCTCTGGGCCTTAGTTACGCCCTAGAATACAGTTCAGTTGGAGGGGCGGCTATACCGGAGGGGCTATACCATATGTTCAGCCTAAAGTAGGAGAAATAGCTGGTCGAACGCGGTTTTCCGCAAATATAAGTATTTGCAACATTTTCTGGTTCAAATATTCCCGTGCATGAAGTTTTAACTTTAAACTTGAAAGTTTTAATATTCGAAATGAATTTATGAACTTTGTATATCCTTATTTCCTATGTGTCATATTGCCTTTCTTGGCATTTTTTCATAGAAGCTACTTTTCTCCCCCTCCCCCTCCCACCGGCCGCTAGCCTTGCCTTTGTTGCCTTTCGGGCATATGTCGCCATTTGGTCCTTTACCTGGCACGTTCTTTCCATTGCCTAGCGCATTATCTTCCCCATCTCACTCGCAATGTACGCATTGTTCCCTAGGACGACTCTCAGCTACAAAATCACCGGTATTTTGCATCACATACGTATTTAAATTTGAACGATTTTTCTGCCATTCAGAAGTAGAAAAGGGATGAGTTTTAAAGTTTAATAATCATTAGAAATATTGAAAGAGAAAATTTAAAATTACATGTAAATATATTTAACATTTATATCGTGATTTTTATTTGGTAGCCAACAAATTTCTTTAAGATTTCATTCCAATGAAAATATATTTCACATCGGCGAAGGAAAGAATCGTAATTCTCTTTGTCAATTTCTTTCGCAAAAAAATATTTAATAAACAATAATCAAAGATAATAGTGATCTGATATTATCTAAATTGTATTCAGTACATTATAATTTATGTATTCGGGACTTTAGGATGGGATTAATGCCAACTAGTGGTGCTCCCATACTTAAACCCTGTTTTTATTTATTATCCACGGGCGTAATGGAGATATGTGGTGGACATGACGTACTTCCATCACAGTATCTAGCTTACTTCGCCTGCCTGAACTTTTCATTCCTCACAAATCTATAGAAACTGAGACGATTGTACTAGAAAGCAACAGCTTTTTATTTTTGCCCCGACTGGTGTTCGAACCCAGAATCGCACCACGAAAAGCCATGAGCCACCAGAGACCCCCTCATTATTATTTACAACGCTATAAATAAATTAATAAATAATATATCAAGTCCCAATCGGTTCTTTGTTTCTTTTATGGTATAATTCAAAATGAGCAAATAAGGAAAATTGTATTCCTATGTGGTGCGAAGGTGCAGCAGTGGAAACTGAAAATTACCTAGAAGGAAGTTGCAGAACACTCTCGAAGTTTCCACTCGACTACTGTCTCACTTCATCCTTGACTGTGCCAACTTTTCCAGCGCCATTCCTTTTACATTCTGAGTCTTCTACGTGTTGAGTGCCCCACAAGAAGGGCGAGGCCTTAAGCGACTTCTCTTAGTTTCCAAGTGCATTATATTCGTGACAGTCTAATTTGCATGGGAAGCATGCATCCTCCACCAAAAACAGCCACACAATATGTTCATGAGGGGTCTGATATGGGTAAATATTATTGCGCCATGTGTTGTCTCTTTTATTCAGAATTCAGTAATGTACTTTTATAGATATTTTATCCAAAATATAATCATATTATCATTTCAACAGTAGGATATTAAAAATATAAAATCATATTTTCGTGAAGTTCGGTGTTATCAGTATTTTGTCTTGCCACAAATAATAAATCAAATAATTGCAAAATCCAATGAAGTCCCGCATAAATTAAATAAAAGTCAAATAATTGCAGAAGCCAATGAAGTCCCGCAAACGATGCTCTACATCTTCCATGACGTATCATTTTTACCAAATAATGCCATTTTAATCACCTCCTCCCTAATCACTAATTCCCGTATAATTATAATGTTTTGTGATAACTCTTGTGAAAGAAGTATTCTGACAGATGTTTTACAATTAAATGCATCTACATTAGACAAGGCAGAAAGATTTTTCTCGGCGTTTGATAAAAACATTCATTTGCATTCTCTGGTGAAAAGCCTACAGAACATCAAATATAAAAGAATCGTTTTTTTTAAGGACAGATGGAATGTTTTGGCTTGATAATGAATAATTACGCTGCTGTTTGCCCAGTAGTGTTGCAGACTACTTTTTTTCACTTATAGAATTTCAAAAATTAAATTTCAGATAACATCAAAAAGTAATGATTTCGATAAACATTGGTTCGAGTTTTAATTTTAAAAAACTGACAGCTTATCCTGAAAACATTCTTTATGAAAATAACCAGCAGCAGATTTTAAATGTAGGTTTTATGAAGTGTTATTAAACGTTTGCAGATTGCAAAACCATTTAAAGAGTCTTCTACAGGAATGGTTTATCAATAATACAGTTGCTTAAAAAAATAACTGGATGTGGATAAAGTAGGGAATTACTGGAGAGGGGTTTTCAAAATTGTTTTAAAAGAAACCAATCGAGTTACAAAACCAAATATTTCTTTATTGCGAGGTAAAATACAAGAGAGCGCTGAGCTCGCGATGACGCGGAAGGATGCTGCTGCGAGATGGACGATGGGAGAACCTCCTTACCAGGAGTAGCTGGTGCCGTGGCCGCTGAAGGTGTGCGTGCTGGTCGCGGGGGCGGCGGAGTAGGAGACGGTCTTGGCGACGGCGGGGGCGGCGCGTACGCCCAAGCGGGCGCGCGTATCCGTACCCGTATCCGCCTCCGTACGCCAGCGCGGGGCCGGCGGACCACGCGGAGGCGGGCGCGGCGACGCGCGGGCGCCGTATGCCACGTTCAACCGGACGAACCAGGCCGTAAGGCCAGACCGGAGCCGAGCCAGGGGCGGGGACGCCGCCGAAGCCAGACCGGAGCCGTAGCCGAGGCCAGAGCCGTAAGCCAGACCGGAGCCGTACCCGAGGGCCGGAGCCGTAAGCCAGACCGGAGGCCGTAGGCGTATCCGGAGCCGTAGGTGACGCCGGCGGGAGCGGTGGCGACGCTGACGGCGGGGCGGCGGCGGCCACGCGAACAGCAGCGGGGCGCGGTAGGACACAGCGGGGGGGCGGCGTAGGACACGGCGGGGAGCCGCGGCCCACGCGGACGGCGGGGGCGCGTAAGACACGCGGGAGCGGCGTAGGAGGACGGCGGGGCCGCGGCCACCGAAGGCGGGAGCTGCGGACGTGTAGGTGACGGCAGCGGGCGCGGCAGCCACGCGGACGGCCGGGCGGGCCGAGGTGTAGGTGACGCCGGCGGGGCGCCGATAGGCCAGGCAGGGGCGGCGGCCACGCGAAGGGCGGGCGCTGCGAGGTGTAGGTGACGCCCGCGGGGCGGCCGCGTGCAGGGCGCCGTACGTCACGGCGGGGGCGGCTGGCGGCGACGCGGAGGGCGGGCGCGCCGAGGTGTAGGTGACGCCGGCGGGGGCGCCGTAGGCCACGGCGGTGCGGCGCGGTGGCGAACGCGGCAGGGCGGGCGCGCCGTAGGCCACGCCGGCGGCGCCGTAGCCCACGTCGTTGCTGGAGCGCGAGCTGGAGATGCGCACGCTGGAGGTGGGCGTGTCCACCGACTTGGAGTACTGCGAGAGGACGTTCTGGCCGCCGAAGCCCTTGACGGTGCTCTCGTGCGTGTGGCCGACGCCGCCCAGCGCGTCCGCCGTCGCCGTGTAGGTGGTGTAGGCGGCGGGCCCGCCCGCGCGCGCCGCAGCCACCAGCGCCGCCAGCAACAGCACCTGCGAGGCGACAGATACGCTAACATCGGCGCATTCCTGAGCAACATATGGTGATTGCCACCAACCTATATGGCCGGGAGCCACCTCGGCTCAGGGCACCAACTGATGTCAATGACCGGGAAGTTCTAGCTTCGAATGCCCCTTCAATGGCAGGATTTTCGATACAAACTACGAAGCTAGGTCGAATCCAGGCACTATTCAAGACGAGGAGAATTCTAGCGACCGGCTGCTCTGATCGGTAGTTTTCTTTGGTTTCTCCGATCAACATCAGGCGAATGCCGGAGCTGTACCTTAACAAACGGGCCACGGACCGTTCGCGAAATTTCCTTCCCTTTCCTACACTTGCCCCTTATACACACATTTAAATCCACTACACTACCACACATGCCCGAAGTCCTGTAAGGAGCTTAGAGTTTGACCCTGCTAGGGCGGGGTCCCGCTGGTGGGAGATACGTGGTTTGGGAGAACATCGCTAGGTCGGCGCCAGAATTCGTTATCCAAAGAGGGAAGATCGCTCCCGACCGACCCCTCTTGAGGAAAACATGGACTATACTTACGGGACGAATGACATTAATCGTTGACACGCCCGGTTTGACAATCAACCTATACGGAATACGGCGTCACCGTGACATGACACTTTTGAAATGACACAACGTTTTCTGACGATGAAGAAGAGTCTTAGAATATCTTATTAGGATATTTAAGTATTTTCTTTTGTCTCGAGCATAACTACATTTCAGAGAATCAATGCAATAATGCATCCATGACTGATCAGAAAGATGAACGACTTTCGACATTTTATGACGACTCACAGACATACAGACGTCCTAATTGTTGTGAAATCGGATATAGTGAACTCTCGATTTTAGTGAATTTAAGTCACTAGTCCCGTTTCACTTACATTACAAATAAACACAATGAGACTCGGTTATAGTGAACCTGATCCTCGGCTAGAGTAATCGCAGGAAATACTTCATGGAAATTAATTCACTCCTTGAAAAGGAAATATCGCACAGTGCTACAAATTCCAACGCTAGGCAGCTTGGAAAAAATATCGGAAAAATGATCATAATCCAAGAAGTCTCCCCTGATGAAAAAGTAGCAGACTCGAAATCAAGCTTAGTGATACCCCTGTGCTACTAAATTCCATTGCAGGATCAAAAGCCGTGTCCTGCGTGGGCTACAACTGACGGTGACGCGCGATCGCTTGCTTCAATTTCAAGATTGATCTTACTTCACATTCCGCGACACAAAGCGAGTGGTGTTCTACGCAGGCAACTGGAAGCGCGCATCGCGCGGAAAGCGATGAGTTTCATTGGCAGCCAGCGCCTTACCGCTGCCGAAAGGATCTCGAATGTTATTAGGCGAATAAAAGGGCCTTCGGAAAATGGGTGTTCCAACAGATCAAGAAGCACTGAAGGGAGTCAAGACAGCATTACGTTATTTAGAGACAGTGGACAATGAAGAATCAAGTATGGAGAGGAACTCTGAACAAGGATCTAGAGAAATTTCGAACGAAAAATATACGAAGCAAACAATTGAAAATAATTCATTTTTTAAGGTCGAATAAATATATTGAAATTTTCATTTAGTGCTGTTAATTTATTTTGCTGTATAATGCATTGTACAGAAATTCTATTTAACTTTGACATTATCGGATATAGTGAACTTCTAATATAACGAACCAAAGATTTTAGTCCCCAGAAGTTCACTATAACCGGAGTCGACTGTATGTGTTATTTTAGGATACGCAACAACGTACGTTGATATAAAGAAATCTAATAAAGAATAGAAAAAAACCGTTTTCAAGACAATTTTTATATCCGAAACTTTAAATTTGCTGATACGTCGTATTATTTCGCTTGATAATAAGTCGTATTAGGAATCCTGTAGGATCTATTATTATTGTTCTCTTAAAAAGATATTAGATTTTCTCGAGTAGTGAAAACGCTCCATGAATTTCCAACCCTTGACTCAAATAATCGTTTTCGATTGAATGCGTGGTCTTGAACATAGGAGATCACTGAAGTCAGAACAGTACGTCTACGACCCCTGTGAGAGTGCCCTGAATTCCATAGAAGGTCCGGTGAACATATGCGCCCAGAGGAAGGGCCCTAGAAGTCCGCCCGCCATTTCGTGTGCAGCCGAGCCCGAACTCACTCGAGCACTTCGAATGGCAGCGAAGTCTTCTGTGCCCTCCTCTCCAGGCAGAAGGCATCTCATAAACGACATCTCAACTACTTTCCTGCAGTAATCACTAGCCGTGTTTCACCTGCTTCAATTTGCCAATGGTTTTGTCTCTCAGCGGAACACGGTGTACACAATGGTATTCAGTAGATGTTTGAAATCTATAGTTATATCAGATAAATATTGCATAAAAATTATAGTTAAGTGACCAACCAATTGGTCAATTTAATTATAAAATTTATTTCATTCTAAATTTTGATTAAATATTAGAAAGTGTTGTCTTAAAAGTGGACTTCAACGTCTTTAAAATAAAGAAAATAAGTAAATATTGAACTACAAATTTCGCTCGAAATTTGGAATGAAAAATCTATGAAAGACTATTTTGAAAATGTTTACCAATTACGTTCCCCCGAATATAACTGCTTGATGCATAACATTTTGTCCAAGATTCCTCTCCTTCCGAAGAAATACAATTAAAAATTGAAAATAATCTTTAAAGATCTCTTACTGAATTTATACAAGAAATGTCTGCTTCTGTTGTAGGAAATATTACTTACGAAAGACGCGAAAAATTTATATTAGCATTAGCACATTACCTTATTTTTAGTTTTTAGTTTTAAGTTTGAAATAACATTTTTGTGAAGTTTTACTCTTTGATTTGAAAATATGAACTTTGTATATCCTTATTACCTGTATCACGAGTGTCTCTTACTGACTTTGTTGGCAGTAAAGGGTCACCAACGAAATAACAGAAGCTACTTTCAAAGTTCATACAAATAATATCCTAAAGTGTCAAAACTCAAAGAAATCCCTTTCAGTCATGTATGCAAATGCCCCAATGTAAACTAGGGTACCGCAAGAATGTCAAGAACTTTTACATTTCTATCTGAATCTGCAGGTTGTGTTCATAGTATACTTCTCTCAACACTAAATAAGACTTCATAGTTATATACAGTTAAATCCACATTATAAACAAAAATTCCAAAATGTGTAACTGTTGTGTAAATGTGTAATTAAAATGCTCAAAACATCCCTCACAACAAATGTTTCAACATCAGTACAAGCGCCAACCATTGAAAAACAAACATTGTACTCATTTTATAAGTTACATTTTGTTCTGACTCGAAGACAGACGAGACACTACAAGTGGGCCTTCGTAAATAAATCAACAGATTTTTGAGACAAGATAACACGATGACAACCCAGTTTATAACTTCCCACACATAGATCAGAAACTCCCCACAAAGACAGAACAAGATCACAAATCCCCTGTACGTCTTTGTCCCAAAGAATCTAAGAAGGCGACGCAAACCTCTTCTTAAACTCCACGAGAACTCCACAAGAGAGCTTACCTTCAAAGTCATTCTGCCGCTGGTGAGATGTGCACTAACCGAAACTGTAAAGGATTGTGTGCTGCACCTCGATTCGGTGGATCGTTTTATACCCGCCGTGACGTCATGG